AAGTTTGTTAAATGATTATAATTTTTTTCAACTGTCATGTCTATAGAAAAGTCTGGATCAGATTTAAATTTATTATTGTTATCAAATAACTCAGCATCCAGATTGGAATCATATTGAATTTCCACAGCAGGCGACTTAATACATCTTCTTATCTGCTCACTAGTTTCTCTCTCTTTCTTTTTTCTCTAGCAGATGTTGTTTTATCAACCGTACCAATTTTTTTAATTTTTTAATTTTTTAATTTTTTTCCTCTTGTTCTAATTTTTGATTTTTGATCTTTTTTTTTCTCTATCCAATGGTGGTACCTAAAGCAAATATTCTCTATCCAATGGTGGTACCTAAAGCAAATATTCTCTATCCAATGGTGGTACCTAAAGCAAATATTCTCTATTCAATGGTGGTACCTAAAGCAAATACTCTCTATCCAATGGTGGTACCTAAAGCAAATATTCTCTATCCAATGGTGGTACCTAAAGCAAATATTCTCTATCCAATGGTGGTACCTAAAGCAAATATTCTATATCCAATGGTGGTACCTAAAGCAAATATTCTCTATCCAATGGTGGTACTTAAAGCAAATATTCTCTATCCAATGGTGGTACCTAAAGCAAATATTCTCTATCCAATGGTGGTACCTAAAGCAATTTCAAACATTTTTTAACAATGTTTTAGTAGCACAATAATAAACTTTTTAATAATAGTATCAAATATATTTTAAAATTTCTTAAAAACTTAAGAAAATCACAGGTTCAAACCAATTCTTAGGCTTTTTATATACTAATAATAAATCAAAATAAAATTATTTTTGAAAGAAAAGTACACTTTTATTTTACTCCAACATGTTCAAAAAAACTTCATCAGATTCAAAGCCATTTACTACAGATTTACTGAATTAAATAGATTCTAATTTTTTAAAATTTAAATTGTTACCTTTTTTCTGCTTTCACATAAACAAGCGAAGTGTGTTGTTTTGCAATCCAAAAGATTCTTACAATTCACAGATGTATACATAAAAATATTTCAAAAATTATAAAAATATTTTGAGTCATAATTATCATAAATAAATATCATATCAAGTTATATGCAATTACTTTAATTAAGTTATGCACAAATATTTAATAAAAAAACAACCTATTATTGCAAGCTACAACTGGAAGTCCACAACCACAAGAAGACAACTACAAGAAGACAACCACAAGAAGACAAATCAAACAAATGCTCAAAGTTGTTATCAAGATATTCTTTATTTTTGTTTGCATTTTTGCACTTTCCTTCAGCAAATAGCACTCTCTTAAAAAGTCTAGAATTTTTTTTGGCCACTGGCGTCTCGTTAGGGTTTCTGAACACTAATTAACAGTAATAGTAAAACAGCTGTTTTTTTTTTTAAAAAAAAAAACAGCAAACAGCTGTTTTTAAATGACTTTTTTTACTGTTTTTTAAATGATTTATTTTTCAATAACAATTTAATAGTTTAAAATATAGGATAATAAGTAACTTTAATAAATAACTTTAGTTCAGTAGTTATCATTTTTTATAAAAAAACTAAGCTCACAGGCAAGTACTAAGGAGTTTCCTATTTTAATAGTTCTTTTATTCTAATCTAGTACTAAAAGTTTTTTAAAGGTTTCTAAAGAGTTTCTTTAGAGTTGTAATAAAGGCTTCTAGCACCAGTTTCTTATTTACATTTACTTAAATGCATAGTTACTAGTTATGAATTAGTTTTTAATGGTGGGTAAAATGGCTACTTAATATCCTTAATTTCTATTTGTAAAATTAGTCTAGATATACGCAACAAAACGGAAAAATCCAACTACAAAAGGGTTGGGAGGTGTCAGCGTTGTAACAAAATAATAAAATGCTCAGAATGTTTTACAACTACCTTGAAAAATCACTTAAAGTCACAGACTTTGTTTAGATAAGGCAACAGAATCAATCATACTAACAGATGAGAGAGCAAGCAATAAGTGAAAAAATACTATTGGCAACTTCTTTGCGCAAAAGAAGCTTCAAAATATTGTTTCTGATTTAGCTACGGATAGCATTTCAGTTTGAGCTATAACAAGAAATAAATACATTTGCCAGTCAATACTCGTGATGGATTTAAACTCCCCACTAACAAAGGTGAAGTAATGAAACTTTTGCACAAAGATTTTGAAGAGAAGCAAAAAAAAAAGATTGACACCATAAAGTTAAAAGTAGCCAATAAAGTGAAGTTTAGCATGACTGTTGATGAGGTTATTACTTTAAGAGGACGAAGATATTTCGGAGTTAATATTCATGATAAAACTGACAATATCACATATAAAACAGGATTAATTTGAATTTTGGGTTCATGCAGTGCACTTGATATGATTGAAATAATGAAACAATATCTAAATGTGTTTGGAATGTAGATGGGAAAAGATTTGGTTGCATCTACTCAGGATGGAGCAACTGTAAACAAGAAGTATATTCGAAATTTAGATGTTATTGGTCAATTTTGTCTTAATCATGGTATACATCTTAGAGAATGTGACACACTTTATATGAAAAAACATGATATTGAAGATTTAAGCGACCCTTGTGATGACAATAACAATAAAAATGATTCTTTTGACGAAGGCACCAATTTTGAATTTATAAATGATGATTGCAAAAATTGTATCAATTACAATAATTTTCTTAAGAACTCACACAAACTGATAAAATACATCAAACTGTCAAGTGTTCAAAAACAAAAAAAACAAAAAATTTATTACGCTGTCTAAAGAATTCTACAATAACCCCATCCAGAGATACAATAACTTTTGCAGGAATGTTGGCATCTCGACTTTTTGGTGTTCATGACGTTAATTTTATTGAAACAACTTAAAATTTTAACTCTACAAGAGGAACTGAATGTGTTGCTGAAGAAAAATGAATCACCAATAGTGTCTTCTGGACAGGAAAATTTTAGGTGGTTAAAAGCTGAATTTACTCTTTTTATGAATACAGTCCAGCGTACAGAAAACTTACAAAAGCCTTATGATGCATTATTAACAATTAAGCCCACATTTATGGATGTTGAAAGAGTATTCTCCTATTGTGCCAACTTTTGTACAAAAAAAAGATCACGATTTGAATCACTTGTCTGTAGATTGGAAGATTGCTTTTTGGAAGCTCTGATGGCAAACCAGCATACCTCTTGCTTTCATTGTGAGTTCTTAGGTTTTTTATTATTTTAGGCATTTTCCTTCATGTATACTGTGTAATAAAATTTCCAACAAAATTTAAAACAAATTACTTTAGCTCAAATCCCTTATCAGCCATCATTTTTTTTTAAATTTATCTTTGTTGGAATTTATTTATAGTATAAGAACATTTTACACTTTTATTAAATCTTAATACTGGCAGTGGTTTAGCCAGGATGACATTTCTTTAAGAACAATTACAAAATCCGAAGCAATACGTGAGTTTATTATGAAACGCGGTTTCCAAATGTTAAAAAGTCAAACTAGAGTTGCATAAATAATAATGTTGTTTTAAGAGATAGAAAAAAAGAACTGTGTGATGAAGTTTCTGTTTTGAAAAAATGTGGTGAAAAGTTCAGCATAACACTTGATAAATGGACTGACATATCCAGAATTTTGGTTAGATTTTATGTACATAATTGCAACAACAATTTTAATAATATCATAAAGAAAACTGCTCATGAAAACAAAAACAGAACATTTCGAGATGAAATCAAGTCTGTATTGAACAGTTCATGTAAAATGATTAAATTTTTCAAATTGTCAACTGTTTATAGCTCCTTATTGCAAAAGAATGTTTTCAATCAAGAAAATAAAAAACAGATGCTAAAACTTGAAGGCGGAACTCTTAGGTTCCCATAATTGAAAGGTTGGTAAAATTGAAACCATGCATTCAAAAAGCAGTTTTGAACATTAAATAGTCTTTATGAGGAAGTCAATTTTAAAGTTTTAAAACCTATTGAACTTTTTGTTCAAAAACCTATCTGGAAAAATGGTAACTTAAGTGTATTTCCTCAAAAAGCAATACAATGAGCAAAGCAACATAGATTTAGTGTCACTAATGAGATATTTGCAAAACCCAAATTCAAATACGTCACAAAATAATGATAGTTTCAAATATTCATCAAAATCAGCAAGTGTTCAATATCCAAAAATATAGTTAAACTAAATTTTATCAAAGTATTGAGGAGTGTCAATATCGAATCATCGGATGAAAAAGTTGCTGAAGAAGCCAGTAATAACCTTAAGACACAGTTGAAACAATCCTTAACAAAGATGGTTTTTTTCCAACCCAAGATTAGTTATTCTGATCCATTATCCGAGATATTAAGAGAGTTTAAGCTGTTTAAAGCCAATTATTTTTTAGATATTAAAAAGTAAAATAAAATAAAATAGAAAAAGAAAAATGTGTAAATTTTCTTTTTCTATTTTAATTTTTTTTTTCATGAAGTTTTCTAATGATTTGGCTAAATTTTTTGAACTATTTTGAATAACAAAAACCGGTATTATAATTTTCAGATATTTTGGAAATCTAGAGGCCATTGAAAACAATGTATGCAATGTTCAAAATCTAAAGAAAATAAATTTTAAATCAATGGTAATTTGATAATAACTCATCATTAGAAACCAGTTTTTGACATAATTATGATATAATTTTGTCATGTTCATAATAAATTTTTTAATGGTTTTTTTAACGGTTTTATTAGTTTAATAATAGCTCTCCCTATATAAGCCAAAATATCATGTTAAAAAAGCAATAAATAGTATGATACCATATATGTTTTAATGCTTGTAATATTATTACACATACTAATAAAAATGTCACCTAATTTTTTTTATATACATATATATATATATATATATATATATATATATATATATATATATATATATATATATATATATATATATATATATATATATATATATATATATATATCATAATAGATAAATAGTTATCATAATGGATAAAAAATCTTTATAAACAAATTACTTATATTTCTTTTTTAGTTGATAAATGAAACCCAGAAAAAAATTATTATGATGAAGAATGAGTTTGAACATCACCTGAATAAATTTCAAGAGTTACAAAGACAAGAGCTGGATTTATTCTTAAAAATTAGTATGAAAAACTTGCAGTTTTCTAAATCGGGGTAAACTTTTTATTTTTTAAAAGTTTAAAATATATTTTGAAAAACTATAAAGTGTTGTATAATTTCTTTATTTTAACTTTTTTCTAAATAACTGGTCCAGTTGTCAACTTATGTTCAAGAAGTTTTAAAATTGAACTACAGTTCTGCTTTCATCAATAAAATTAGGCAGTTGCATATGAGTGTCTACTTCCTTGATAGGGCCTAATTTTTTAAAAAGTTTTAAGGGTGGAAAAAAACTGATGGTGGTAATTTTTTGAAAATAATATTTGGGTAGTGACTTTATTAAGGGTTGGGGATAAGATAAGCAATATTTAACCAAAAAAGTTGAAAAACAATAATTTTTTTTGTAAAAAACAACTTGAAAAATTTAAACAAATAGTAATTACAGTTTTATATACTAAGAAAAAGTTAATATATTCAGTAAAATTTGCTGCTCATATTAATGTACAGCTCATATTAATACTTCAAATAAAAAAGATCAGGTTGATTAATCAGTAAGACATGACTTTAATTGTCAAACTTTACCTGAAAATATTAGGGATGCAAATGAAATATTCTTAAGACAGTTTAAGAATAATTAATAATATCAAACTAAAAACTTCAATCCCTAAAACAATTAACCCCACCTGCTCAAACATTAGGGCAGTAATGTAGAAAAATATTCAGTTTTACGATCTTAAACTAAATTTAAATTCATTGACAGGTTTTAAATTTCATTCAAAAACTCTTGTAAATTACAAAAGTTGTAACCATGCTAAATTTCTGAGGTCCAAAATGACGGAGTTGTAAATTTTGTATTGTCATAACTTTTTAAGTTTACAATGTTTTTAAATGAAAATTAAAATCTTTTTTTATTGTTGGAAGTTTACAATAAGATGTTAAAGTATCAACTTTGATTAATATAATTATTAAAATAATAATAATAGTAAGTCAATTTGTTTCTATCATTTACTAAAAAATATATAAGTAAATAGATTATTTCAGAAATAAGTTTGTATATCTTAAGTATGAAAAAACCTACAATGACTCGTCTTACATGTTTAGACAGCTAGTCTAGATGAATGAAATCCAAAGATGGATTTAAAGAGCTGTTTATTGTCATATTATATGACAAAAAAGATTTACAAAAAAGCAATAGATTTTCCTATAGTAAGTAAGTGGATAGTAAAATGTACTTTACTCTTAATTTTGTGAAAGAGTTGTAAAGCAAATGATTGAAACAGCATTGTAAGACATGATGGTTTTATCAGAACAAGAACAGAGCACAGAGATGTTTTTCCAAATCTGAAATCTAAGAAAGATTTAATTAAACTTTTTAGTTGATGTTCAAGCTTAGTTGATTTTATCGAAAAATTTATTTTCTATCAAAATGTGTTTTTTTTTAACATTTTATATAATTGTAGTATATGTTGACAAATCTGTGTGTGTCCACAGAACTTATTGATGATTCACATATAACAATTTCGGGCAGTTCATCTGCAGGTTTTAAATTTTATATAATATTTTTTTAGGGTTCAAAAGTTATGATCATAAAAAATTTGCAAACCCCTCATATTATAAAGGGTGGAAGTTTACATGGTGATAACTTTTGAACACTAAAAATTTATTAGATGAAATTTAAAACCTTTGGTTGAATATATATTGAGATAGTAAAGCAATGTATTTTGTTAGCTCATCACCCTAAGACATGAGGACAAATGAGATAACACGCACAAGCAAATTTTTTAGGTGTTTTTGTTTCCAGACTTGAATTGGTACCATTTTTTTCAAAACATTCTTATTTGATTTTAACATAAGCATACTTAAGTTTGGAGTTGCAAAATGGCTGAAGATGTCATGTGAAACATAAAAAAGTATGTGTGTTTCCATGAACAAAATTAATTCAAAGCTTTAATTGTTACCTAATTCGTATGGTTTTTTAGTACTGTAAAAAGTTTTTTTTGAATCGTCATTAATGTCTATTTATATTAATAGTGCAGTAAATACAAGTAAATAAAATTTCATGTTAAAATATTTTGGTAATGGATTTTGAGATCAAATCATGTAAAACATTGCAAATGTATTCACTTTAAATAAATTAAAAAAAACCTTTGATATTGAAACTAAAGGCTTGTGACATATTTTTTGACATTCAAGATAAACAAAAAAAGAGTTACTAATAGGTGACATAAAAACAAGTATTGCTACATCTATCTTTAAAGCATTAAACAACATGTAAATGAAATATATATATATATATATATATATATATATATATATATATATATATATATATATATATATATATATATATATATATATATATATATATATATATATTATTTCTTATTGTAAATCCTAGTTTGATATGCTTAATAGAAAAATAAATGTCAAATATATATATGTAGATATATATGCACACACATACACACACTCATATAATATGATTTTATGACACAGTGTATATGAAACTTTTTACATCATATATGTAACTTTCAAAGTTTTTAAATACTTCTTGGTTTTGTAATTTTACAATGGCGTAAAAGTTTAGCTGTTGTTTATAATTTTTTAAACATTTAAATAAAAATAACTAAACTTTATAATTATAAAAAGATTTTAAACATTTTAATAAATAAAAATAACTAAATTTCATAATTATAAAAAGACTTTTGATTAGCTAATTTTATTTTTATTTAGTGATAAAAAAGTTGTGAATCTTTCTATTCATCGATTAAATCCACAGTTCAAGCAGCCTTGCGATGTTCTGTTAAAAAGTATATTTACAACTTATAATATGCCTCCCTATTGTTCTCCTGATTGTATTTTGGAAAACATTTTAAAGTCAACTAAAAAAGGTATTCTGCTTTATTATTAGACTAAATTTATCCAAAAAGGATTAATCTTGAAGTTTAAAAAAAAATTATAAATTGAGACTTCAATAAAACTTCTTGGACCTGTTTCAATCAAAAATCATTTTGATTGACTACTTTTCTGACCTTCTGTTAGAGAACATTATTTAGAACATACACAGTATACTGCAGCATTTGTTTTGCTGATACAATACTGACTACAAAAAAATGTTTGAGGAGAAATGACAGCGGCATAAGGTATAAAATCCAGAGGAGTAATTTTATATTTAAAAGAGGGCAGAGCATTTGAAAAAATTTTAAAAATTGAATTTAATATGTAAAACATTTAATAAATGAAGCTATATGTAAAACATATTTAATACACGAACAATAATGCATTTAGCTATTCAATATGTAAAACATATTTAATACAGGAACAATAATACATATATTATATGCAATATTGTTCAATGTTGATGCATATAAAATAATTTTGTGTGTGTGTGTGTGTGTGTTAAAGTAGTTAATTTTTTCTGAGAAACAATTTAAAATTTAGTTAATAAAAAAACTGACTAATTGCTAATAAAGAAACTATTATTTAACTAACAGAGAGGACCTAAAGAATGGTCTTTTCTTTTCATATGGTTCTTATTTAAACAAACAAACAAACAACAGTTAAAGTACTATTTAGACTAACCTGATATTATTAAATCTTAAAGTATCATATAGCTGTCAAATAATAATTCAAAATGTTAAATATGTAAATCAATGTTGAAATAAATGTTACCATGTTAATAATTTAAGTGTTTTTATTGAATTTAAATAAATATGATATTATTTAAAGATATAATTGTTTTTATTGATTTTGGAAAAATCCCATAGTTTGTATGTATAAAGGTTGATTTTGAACAAAACCCACATGAAATCTTAGGTTATCCATGTATTAAAAATAAGAATAGTCAGGGAAATCTCCTAAGTCTGGTATAAACTTCATTTTAGGCTTATAAAATGTTTCATTGAAATAATCAGAGAACTTACCTAAGTCTGGTATGAGCTTCATTTTAGGCTTAAGAAATGTTTCCTATAAGTTAAAACTATACTGAATATGAGTTTGAACAAAGGTAATACTTAGATATTACGCATATATCATTATTCTAAACAAACAAAGTTTGAAAATTTTTCTCAACAATTTTAAGTCAAAAAATTAAAATTAATTATAGCCACTTTTTTTTAAAAAAAAATATACAAAAAATTTTTAGCAATTATAAGCAATATTAATCTTTAATTAAAAAAAATGTGAGCTTTATTCTTACTTTGCGAAAATAAACTTTATTCTTACTTTTAACGCTTGATATTCTATATTCTTACTTGTTAACAAATATACTAAAACTTGTTAACAAATATACTAAAACTTGTTAACAAATATACTAAAACTTGTTAACAAATATACTAAAACTTGTTAACAAATATACTAAAACTTGTTAACAAATATACTAAAACTTGTTAACAAATATACTAAAACTTGTTAACAAATATACTAAAACTTGTTAACAAATATACTAAAACTTGTTAACAAATATACTAAAACTTTTAAATCCTAAAAAGATTTTAATATAAATCAACTTTATTTACTTAATTAAACGAAAATAAACTTCTATATCATACTAGCTAATCATCGGGGATAGTGCAAAACTGTGTAACTAACATTGGATAATACCGGGTATCTACAGTACAGTTTTTTTACTAGAGAAGTTTAAAACTTTTTTATTTTATTGACATTTTTTTTATTTAACAGAATTTGGGTTTATTTTAGTATAAAGAGTATTTTTCATGTTTTTTTGTAATGTCAACAATAGATATTTGGTGTTGAAATTATTAATATCCAAATATAGTAGCCAATGCTAGTTACGCGGATTTGCACTATCCCCGACATTATGTTTTACTTTACTATCTAAATAATAACAAATTTTTAAAATTTAAAATTAAAATGAATAAAATTAGTCAATTCAATACATAAATAACAGTTAACAAAAATAATCTAAAACAACATGAATATTGTCAAAAATATAATGGAACTTATATTTCAAATACTCATTATTTTAAAAATGTTAACAGAGTTATGTTAACAGCTTATTTTGATACAATTTCAAACAATCGTTTACAAAATAGGATTAAAGTATTTCATTAACTTGAAAAAAAGTTCTTTAATAGTTCTAGAAAAAAGAAGAAAAAAAAGAGTAATCTAATATTTTTAAATTAAAAATAAATAAATTTTACAATTGTATTATTTGTAAATAAATTTTAATAAATATATAACAGATTTGAAAGCCTCTCAAATCTGTTCTTAAAAAAATATTCTATAAGAAAAATATTTTATATTTAATTGCTATTGTAATTTTATGCTAATAAGGTTTAATTTACATATATAGAGTTGTATCCAATGGACATTTTTTTATTGAAAGATTTATTCAAAGACTTTAATGGTAAGCATATATTGTTAATTTATTTGCTTTAATTTTTTAATTTTGTTTTTAATAAGATAAATTCAGTATTAGTTATAGATAACAAATGTTATAATATTTAAATTTAATGTTTTTAAGATTTTTAAATTTTTTTATATTATATTATGTTTCTAACACATAAACATTTTGTCAAAAATCTAGGTTTAATGAATAAGAAGACTTTGTTACAAATAGTAAGTGACAGAGGCTCTGGCCCCAGCTAAAAATGAGACTTTTTGCAAACCCAGCCCTGGCCCTGGCAAAATTATAAGATTTAGTAGGGGTTGCTAGTTAGCGCTAGAAAAATTATAATATTTTATATATTATAATTTTATGCTTACATTTACTATTTATTAAACACTGGCATACATTTATATATTTTTAAACTCTAATTTACTTCCAACAAGATTGCAAGCAACCATTGTTAAGTTATAGATTTGCTTTAAAATAGAGAATGACTCAAAATACTAAGAAACCTAAAACTAATTTAAAGATGGGTTATAAAGTTTTTTTTAAAGAGTTATAAAGTTTTTTGATGTTCAAGGAAAAAAACTGGTTTAAATAAAAGTTTTTATAGCATGAAGTAAAAGAATGTAATACAGTAAAAGAATGTAATACAGTAATAGAATGTAACTTGTTGAATAAAAAGCCAAGCAAGAATGAGTTTTAATTTATTTTTATAGAGATGGTAGCTCGATCGAGCATTGACTATTATTATATTTGTAAAGAAGAAACAATTGGAGAGCAGCTCAAGCTTGTCAGATAAAGCAGGTCTAATTATGTTTACGTACTTTTAGACTTTGAGAGTAAGAGTAAGGGAGCATTTGTCAATTCCAAAGAATTGCAATACTTTTATGAGGTAAATAAATGAGATTTGTTGTTTTACAAAAATTGTTGATTTTAAGTCCAGAATCCATAGGCCACTGCAAGCCCTAATCTGTTACAAAAAAGAGGTCAGATTTAAAATTGGCTGCTTATTCTAAGCAATTAAAAAGTGAAAATTTTTTGTCAAGACAAGAGTATAAAGTTGAGTCGTCTGCAAATAGAGCCACATTAGATTTCATGATTTTATTGTAAATAAGAAACAATACAGGAGCAAAGATGGAACCTTGTGGTACCCTTAAAGTTACTTGAAATAAAAAAGCGGGTAGACCTTTAAGAATAATTTTAATACTGCAGTTAGAAAGAAATATTTTCAAAACTTTAAAACCTTTATATATAGAAACTAATAACAGTGAAGAGTGAAGACTAATTGGATTTTGGACACAGGATTGTTAGAGAGGTCAAAGTGTTTTTTAGAGTTTTTGAAAAATTGGAAAAGTTTAGCAAAAATTGAAGAGAATTCTGGAGAATACTTTTTTAAGACTATGATGTAAATCTATTCTGGAGTACAAACTGTAGAAGTGAATAATTGAGAGTTAACTTTAGCATTGGAAGCCAGAGTGATTTGGATGTTTAACAATGGGTTAATTTGTTTAACTGTCAAGAAGTTTAACATCAGACAGGACTTTTTTACATTGGCTTCTTGCAATAAAAAACGAGCATTTGTTTTTAAGACAGATGTTCTTGTAAAAATGATGAAAAAAATGATTTATGTTTTAATAATGTGATTGGTCAAGATAGTGAAAAAAGTGGAGTAGCATGAGTGTTGACTTAAAACTGAAGAAAATAATAAAAAATTCTAAACTTTTATTCCAGAAGGAATAAAAGCTTTCAAGATGCACTTTATGTAAACATATTATGGGTATAAACATAAATATTTGCTATTTATTTAGATGTTGGCATACAATATCCTTTCAATGTTATATAAACTTCATTATTTACATGGTATTTGCCAAATAAGAAGATAATTAGATGGATGTGTAGTGTGACTCTAGCAAGACAAAAAAAGGAGGCATAATCTTAGACAGATTACAAAAAATCTTGTATTGAACAACATTACAATTACTATCATTGTGCAGAAACAAGAGTTACAGCCATATGTAAATAATGTTCAAAAAGAATTAAAACAATAAGTGAAGTACATGGCCATTAAAAGTCAACATAAAATTAATGTGTCGAAAAGAAATATAGAACAATGCTCAAAAGAACCGGTAATTGCTGTAGCGTCAAAAAATACTTTTTTTTTTCAAAAAAAACAATAAATCTCTCGAAGCTGTACTTTCAAGAATTCTTTTTTCAGATTTCTTTCAATTTGTTTAAATCTTCTTTAAATCTGAAGATTCAAAGATTGAAAGCAAAAGCTATTGTTAGAGATACCAAAATTGCCCTTGCTTCTAGAACTAGAAGATAATATAAATCTTATGTATAGATGTTAAATCTATTAACGTTTTGGACAAAAACCAACTTTTTGAAAAACCGGTTTTCTAATTTCAAAAAAACTGGTTATAACCGGTTTTCAAATTTAAAAAAAAAAAAATTGAATAGCAAGAAATACTTAATTTGTATATTTCATTTATTTCATATATCGTAATTTTTCCTAAGGAAAGCGGATTTTAAAAAACATAATATGTCCACTGAAAGGTGCCTAAGCCTTGTTTTAATTTTGGACAATTGTCAGGACACTTGTCTACAATTGAAAATACACGTTCATTAGGTACTGAGCTCAGTTTTATAGCTTTAAGTGCATCAATTAACAAATCTTTCGTTCTTTTTAAGTTAAGATTTTTGTTCTTTTATGCATTGCCACAAATAATAAAAAAATTTTATATACTATAAATATATATACTATATATTTTTATTTATATACTATATATTTATAGTATAATTACTATATTTATAGTAAATATAATATACTATAAATTTTAAATTTAATTTTCAAAGCTTTCAGTGTCTTTGGGTTAGTGAGGTTTTCTGCAGGCTCTTAAAGAAAATTAATTAAATTTTTTAATTGACTTCTTTTAAAAAAGCTTTACTTTGATGAGTAGTTTTTTTGATTTTTTCAAGATCAATGTTCACAATAGAATTTTGAAATATTGTAGACAATAACTTTTTAGACAATTTAATAATGTTGATTGAATTTTCCATGACTTCTTTTAAAAAAGCTTTACTTTAATCAGTAGTTTCTTCGGTTTCTACTCGATCTGAATCGATGTTCACAATAGAAATTTGAAATATTGTAGACAATTGAATTTAATAATGTCAATTTTTGAAGGTAAAGAAAGTATACTAGAAATGCAAAAACACCTTCACTAGTTAATAAAGTGGCATCATGTCACTCTAAGGCTTTAACCAGATGAATGGATTCCAAGACTTTATGAAGTTCCAATAGTATTGAGCTTCATTCCACATATAAAATGAACCAAGACCATTTAATGCTAAAACCACACATTTTTTTACTGATAAAAATCTATCAAACATTTCCTTTATACTATTCCACCTTGTTTTACAGTCAAGAAATAAATTTTAAAAATCTTTTCCTTTTTTTATTTTGATATAATTTTAAAGAATGGTTTGTCTTACTGGAGATTTGCAAAAAAAACTTACAAATTTTCTGATTTGTGAAACTGAATGTTTGCAATTGTCAGACAAAATAGGAATAGGATTTTGTTACAAACATAGCAAAATTTATTTTTATATATGAAAATAAGAACATCAGAAAAGTTACAAACATAAGAAAGATTTATTTTTATTCATATTCGTCATATCTTCAACTTCATCATCTGATTCCTAACTTGAAACATTTACTTAGGAACATCTTTAACCATTCAGGGTGTTAACCAGGAATAAATTTGATACAGCGTTTTGACAAAATTGGAAATTTGTCAAAATATTTCCTAATCCTATGTCCCCTTCCCTGAGATTAAAGTGTGTTCCGGGGATACATGGGGTCCCTTTCTTATATTCCTTCTTCTTCTACTCCACTACAGCGCTGCATACATTGACTGGACAGCAAAAATAAAGTAAAACTTTATTTTTGTAGATTAAAATTGTTATGACCAGGTTTATATGAGCTTATTACCATAGCATAAACAAAATACTTACTAATTCAAAATACGAACTAATTAAGGGAAACTAATTATAAAGTATAGTAAAAAAAATACTTTAATTTTATAGGTAAAAAATTCCAAAAATCTAGTTTGCAAAATAAAAAAAAATGGTATAGAAAACACATATATACAAATACTACAATATTACATATAAGTAGATATAAATATCATAATAGTATTATATATATATTTAATACATTAATGTATTTAATATGATGTGATGTAATGTAATGTAATTGCTTAATGTTGATTATGATTCTGATTATTCAGAAATTAAATTTGAAAACTTTGAAGTAGACCATGAAGAGACCAAGACTACCCATCTTGTTCTACAAAACACAGAAGTAAGCTCTTTAATTACAAAAATTCGGAAAGTCGTAAGGATTTTCAGTAAATCACTAACCAAGAAAAAAACTATCAACCAAAATGATAAACTTCAACAAAAAGTATGTTTAAGAAACTGTCTGAAAAAAACTTTCTGTAATTTTAGATTGTAAAACTAAATGGAGTAGTTTATTAATCATGCTGGAAAGATCTTAAATATGCTGTTCTAAAAAGTCTGATTTTAATGAAAGTGAAGCAGACTAAATTTTAAAGAAAGCACATTAAAATTACTTTCAAACATAATATCATGCTTGCAACCTATTAGGTTGAACCTGTTGAAACACTCTGCACTGAGAAGGTTAATTCATATGTAGCCGATCTAACACTAAAATTTATCTTAGATGACCAAAACATTTTTTTGAGGATTGCGTTAAAATTTATGCTAGATAACCAAAACACTTTTTTGAGGATTGTGTTAAAAAAAGTTTTATAAAAGAGAGAAGAATAATGTTTTTAGACGTTTTACACTTTATAACAGACCCTAATATGTTTTTTCTGTTAAAGACAATTACAGTATTTTTGATATCTGCAGTAAAGTCGCAATTCTTAAAAGTATTGTTGACATTGTAAAAAACATCTAATGTACATTAATGTGGAATCTGGGACACT